GGTTGTTTCATCAAACTAAACACATTCACTTCCATTTTCATATTTCCAAAGGTTAAGGTCATGTTCCCATTTCTACAATTGATCAATGCATTGGCGGTAGCTAAGAATGGTCGACCTAAAATGATGGGAATCTGTTTACCTTAAGTAGGTTGGGTGTTTAGAACAATGAAGTCAACTGGATAATAAAAATCTGCCACTTTGATAATCATATCCTCAATGATACCCCTTGGAATCTTAACTGATCGATTAGCTAATTGGATTCTAACATCGGTTTTCCTCAAATTGGTTAATCTTAACTCTTGGTACATAGAAAAAGGTAACAAGTTCACATTAGCACCTAAATCCAATAGGGCCTGGTCAGCAAAATTTTCGCCAATCCTACAAGTGATAGTCAGACTACCAGGGTTTTTATGTTTGACCACAGCTTGGTTTTGTAAGAATGAGGAATAATGTTGGGCTATGAAGGTTTCCTTCGGGATGTTGGTTTTCTTTGACTAAGTCTTTGATAAACTTTGCATAAGAAGGAATTTGCTTAATGGCAGTGAGAAATGGAATATTAATCTGAAGATTTTAAAAAATTTCTGAGATCTCACTGTATTGTAAAGCCTTTTTATTGTTAACTAGTCGGGAAGGGAAATGTGCAAGTGGAACATATGGCGAAAGAGTAAGATTATTAATTTGAGAGGCTTAGTCCTTTTTGGCTTTTGGAGGGTTTGATGGACGAGATTCTGATGGTTCAGGTTTATGTTGGGTGGGTAGGTCAACCTTATTATCAATTTGTTTCCTTGACCTAAGCATGATGATAGAATTCACATGGCCATTGGATTGGTCAGTGGAAAAAGGAAGTTTCAATGTGATTGACGACGGCCGTTCCAATACGCCAAACTAAATGTAGTGAATGTGTGGTTCAAGAAAAGCCCTTTATGTCAAATTTAAATTTATAAAAACCACTACCAACACTACTACTAACGTAGCAAGAGTGAGTAGGGATCGTCCCAAGGGATTATACGTGTTGGAATTTCAACTTCGACTCTAGCGTACCAAATGATTGCAAAAGAGAATTGGGTTGGTTGATTACTTCTAGAAAAGAATTAATTAAAATGCATTAAGATAAAGAGTAAGTAAGAAGGAAAGGTCTTGGGGTGTAGAGATCACCACCAAACAATACTATTCCAAACCATAATCAAGTGACTAATGAGGGAAATGAATGTGTTGCAACAATATTGTGTGTATAAAAGACATTCAATTGGTAAGGGTGACTCAACAAGTGCAAATTGTCTCAATCAACATGTGTGAGGCCACAATACATCTATTGGTAGAGGAATATATTGTCTAGACATCATGTGAAGAGAACAAAATATCAAATCAAGTCATTGAACCTTTCATTAAGCTCATAGTCCAAGCAATCCATAAGGATGACTTAGTTTAACATGCATTATCTAAACATCATGTGAGAGGCCACAATTTATCTATTAGGAGAGGAATAAATTGTCTAAACACATGTGAAAGATACAACATATCATAACTAGTCATTAATCCTTCATTAAGCTCACAATCCACATACAACACAATATTAGAGGAATATGCCATTTGGACTCACAAGCATGGAACATCAAACATCAAGAGTAGATTGTCCTCCCATCTAACATTATACTACCACTACACTAAATCTACACTACTAGCATGAAAATAAAGCTAACTAGACTAGGGGAAAGGCACAAACCATCAAGAATAGGCATAAACCATCAAATGAACCAAAATAGCATTCATTAAGCATATCATCTTGATAATCTCTAGATCTATAGCATCAATACACATAGACATGCATCAAAAACACTAAATCTAGAGATAAGCACATGAATATCCTACTTTAGCATACATAGACATATGGGTAGCATAGAATAGTCAATTGGAAGCATTAAACCATACAAACCATGAAATAATCAAGATTTATATATACATGAATATCAAGATGTATCATACAACACTAATCCCTGAATAATACACAAGATTAGAGTATAGAAAGCATGCTTTGGGCTAACTCTAGCCCCAAGAGGATGTCTAGACACTCATGGTAGTGATGATCCAACCCTCAAGGGCTAACTCCATGGCTGCTCCTTGTAGATGAAGATCTCCTCCAATGGTTGCTCTAGCTTCCTCCCTTCTTCCTCTCCAAGAATAGCCTCCAAGATGATTTTCAATGTGTGACAAGAGACTCTAGACTCCTCACCAAAAAGTGTATCATATTCCTTATATAGGTAGGTCAAATACACCCTATGATGAGCTGTGGTCGTGCAAGGCATATTCTCCAATGATTGGGTGAAGGACGGAATAAATGAGCTGGACTTTAACTTTTTCTCGCTGGAGGAAGTTCGATCGATCGAACCTTAACTTGGATCGATCGAAGATGGGTTCGATCGATCGAACTGCATCTTGGATCGATCGAACTGGTCTGACTCCTCCGGATAAGGACAAGGCTGAGATATTTCGAAGATATTTATGGGGAAAAGGACAAAAGTGGTTGGTAGGCGTACAGCTGTGGATAAGATCAATCATTTGAATAGGACAAAATAGGGTTCGATCGATCGAAGGTGATGTTGGATCGATCGAACTTGGAATTTCAACAAAGGCCAAGGTTGGATCTATGGAGAAGTACTGTGATCGATCATAGATGTTCGATCGATCGAACTCTAAGTTGGATTGATCGAACTTTTCAGCTGCACAACTTTGATTTCTTTTTGCTCCTTTCTTTTGCCACTTTGATCCCTCCTTTGGTTTATCTCAGGATTTCTTCAATTAAGCTCTTATTTGGCTGAGTTAGCTCAATTTTGGGATTAGTGCCTGAAAATATAAATAACATGTAATAAGTCTAAAACGGCAAAGTAAGATAGATAAAGGTAGTAGAATGCTTAAGCTTAACGGGTTTAAATGCGCGCTTTTCAGTGCTCATCAGTGATGAACCCCTTTGGCTTGAGGGTTGATTTCAGGTTAGCTAGGCAAGGTACCTCTTTGTCGTTCAAACAAAACTGAAGTGAGTTGACCCAACAGATTTTGCATGGACTGTTGCAGTTGGTTCTGAGTCAAAAGGTCAAAGTGACTTTCTAGCTTTCGAATTCTCTTATTAGATTTCTTATTTGATTGGTCGAGATTAAGGGCAAGCATCTTCAGAGTGTCTTCATAGTTGGAAACTTGTTGGTTCTGTGGGATAGGAGGAATATAATTGCTCATGGGATCAAGTGCTAGATCACGATTGTTACTCAACTGGGTGTTCGGTGGAAACTGACCTTGAGGATCGAGCAAACCTTGAGATTGAGGTTGCCTATTGGAATTCCCTTGAAAATTGAGTTGACCACCTAAGTTTTGGGGAGGCAAATTTTGTCGCCAAGAAAAATTAGGATGGTTTCTAGTATCAGGATGGTAAGTTTGGCTAAAGGTATTAACCGTCGGTCTTCTATAGGTATTAAAGGCACAACTTGAGCATTTGAAGGTTCAAAGGTATAATAGACATGACATGCTTCAGTAGGATGAGATGAACTAGAACACACATTGCATTGCACATTTGTGGACATGAGTGCAAAAACATCAAACTTTTTGGTCAAGTCTTTTACTCATTCAGTTAGACTATGCATCACAAATTTTAATTCATTTTCAGGTTTAATCTCATACCAAGAAGATGTTTTATTGGTTTGGTCATTCTTAGAAAATTCTTCAGTATTCGAATTCCAATTTTGGGCATTCTCAGTTAGTTCCTCTAAGAGTGTGTAGGCTTGGTCAGGGGTTTGGGCCTTGAATTTACCTTAGTGCATAGACTCGATCATGGTTCAGTTCATATGTGAAAGCCCCTTATAAAAAAATTGAACTAGCTGGGCTTTATCAAAGCTATGGTGTCAGCATTTAATAATTAAATTATGAAAACACTCCCAAGTTTGGTGAAATTGTTCCTCATTTTTCCCTCTAAAATTGCTTATGGAATCTCTCATGGACTCTGTCTTTTGCATGGGGTAAAATTTGTTCATGAATTTCTTTGCAAGTTCATCCCATAATCGAATAGAATTTGGAGAAATGAAGCCATGAGGTAGCCTTATCTTATAAGGATAGAGGAAAGAGACGCAATTTGACACCCTCTTCATTCAAATTCTGGTTTTTGAAAGTGTTGCAAATAGTTAAGAACTTTCCTAAATGGATATAGGGTTGCTCACTTTCAAAGCCATGAAATTTGGGTAAAAGGTGGATCGTAGCAGGTCTAATCTCAAACTGGGGTGCTTCTGTTGCAGGGAGAACTATGCAATTAGGTGGGTTGGCTGTGATGGGTGCAAAGTAATCATTCAAAGTCTTAGATTCAGCCATTGGAAATTGATGGGTGGTTGAAGAGAGCAAGAGGGGTTTCTTAAACTCAAAGAGTGAAGGATCACTAGAATAACGGATTAAACGTTTGTTAACCCGCCATAACTTGGGCATAAACAAGTAGACAATTCAGTTTTTTTTTTTTTTTTTTTTTAGGGAATGAGTTAAGTAAGTTAAATCCTAAAAGAGGGATAGACACGAGACAAAACACACAAACCACACAAATTTTTTTGGCTCTTTTATCTTGAGCTTAAATTTAAGGGTGATGAATTTTTAAATCTAATCGTAAAAAGAATTAATAAGATGGTATCCAAATTAATTCTCCCTAATTAGAGAGCTCTTACTCCTTTCCCGACTTAAGTTGAGAGATTACCAGTTAAGGACCATCAAACTAACAATGAAGTAATTCCAAGGAAAGAGTGGAGAGGCTTTTAACCTGCTTAATAATGGGTCGTCCACACTCCTAGTCAGAACTGGCCTATCGTTTATCAATTTGATAATGACTCATTAGAGTTACTAACAACTGCGTCCTTCCCAGAGGGCCTTGTACGCACAAATTTTGATTCCGGAAATTCAGGAACGAAAATAAATGCAATGAACAAATATTAAATAATATCAGAAAATAGATGAGTACAATTCTCTGTTTGGCGATTCTATTACAGTATAGAATCTCCCTCTGATTGAATCTCCTTGGAACGTTGGCGCAAGGGCTTCAGAAGCTTGATCTTGGCCGGTGGTTGAACTGTATTTGAGTTCTTCAAAATTGAAGAAAACTCAAATGGATTTCTAAACGAGGGCCGGTGAGGCTTGATCTCAAACGGTGGATTTGAAAGTCTTTAAATGAGAAAGGCACGTGTGTGCTTGTTGTTCTTCAGGATCTTTGAATGTTGAAGGGCTTTGATGGAGAACGGCGTAGGTGTGGCACGCTTGTTGTTCTTCTTCCTTAGAAACTTCGGAGTTTTTGTTGAGTCAGAGCTTCGGCAGAGTTTCAATGTTCTGTTTGTCTCTTTTCTCTGTGTATTTTGTCTCTGTATGTGTCCTTTCTCTTGTAAGGCCTTGTATTTATAGGCTAAGGAGTGGGTCATTTAATTTGGAAACTTCCCAATATTGTGCGATTCTTGCATAAATAAGGGATTTGTTTCCTTTTATATGAAAATCAATTCAAATTCAAATTCAAATTATTTGAATTTTACCGCACTTTTCTTTAAAGGTTTGAACCTGTAAGATTTTGACACGTGTCCATTGATGGGACCCATATTTGTGAAATTTAATTAATCAAGGAATATTTGACTTTTTGACCAATCCGACGGTGATTAGACCATCACAATTTTGAAGTGTCTACAAATTGCCCCCACTTCAAAGCTTGATGACATGCATGCATGGACAACAAGCTTTGAAGTATTAGCTTGGCCAAAGATATCTTCCACTTTTTGAATTTTTTTTTTCCATTTTTTTTTTTTTTTTTTTTTTTTTTCACTTTCAGGAAATGGTGAAAGAATTTGAGCCCACTCTAAATTCCGAAGTACCAGCTCCGGATGGCTTTTTTACCAAACTTGATTTCCATGTGTACATATGTTAAAGTGTAAGCCAGTTTAATTCATCTCTTGCTTGTTTGTGGGTGTACGCATGCACTTGGAAACTTCTAATTTGATCCTTGATATATATTGGGAATTTTAGGATATACTTTCTATGCTAATAATTCTAACCGAATATTTCAAAACCGCGCAAACATATTCTTACGTGGATCTCATGTATGAAAATGAGTAGACTGAAGTTTTGCATGGAGTCGATCGCGCACGAGAGATTCTTGCATATTTTCCAAATCCTTGTTTGAATATACACATTTACTTGCATATTTGTGACCGCCTTCAATTTCACGCATAAACCTCTTTACAAACTGAGTGACGAAAGTTGACCACATGCAACTCTTATATATGGTGCACCTTCAATTCACTCTTATATATATATATATTTTTTGTACCAAAGGAAATTGCTACTGAGAAAATATTTGAGAGGGGTTTTGTGCTGTCTCTTTTGCCAATGATTTCTCTCTTCACACAGCTGTTCCAACCTTAAACTCCTTGGTCAAGGAAAATTTCCAAACTTAGATTCATTTACATATTTTTTAAATCATAACCTTGTTTAGCACTACCAACCCTTCACGTGCATCTTGTCATGAAGAAAGAAAAGGTCAAAATTCTTGAATGGAAATAAACCCTTACTTTGGAAAGTTCAGCTAATATAATATATAGGGATTATTACATATAAATGGGGTTAGGACACCATATTTACTAAGAGGCTGAGTGAAAGTCCCATAATTTCTCTAAAATAAGTTTGACCCAAAAGCTGAGGTGGCACATGAAGAAATACTGTTTCATATTTCTGTTGCCTAAAATACCCTTCTTCCTATTTTATGTGTTGCCTAAAATGCCCTTTTCTACACTTATATAATTTCAAGCCCTAATGCCTCTTTCATATTCCATTCGTGCCGCCCTATCTCTCCCCCCTTCTCTGCAAACAGTGATCAACAAACCCCTAACCATTTCCGTACTTTTCGTGTGACGAAGAAGACGATGTACAGCGAATAGCGACCGGCGATCAGTGAGCAGCGACTACAGGGGAGCGACGGCCAGCGACCAGTTGTTCAGTTTTACCAGGACGAAGGTACCTTTTCATTCTTGAATGCTTTTTGTTCATCTTGTTCCTTTTGTTGCTTAACAAAATCATGAAAACGGTGTCATCCTTAGCAGGATTTTTGCTGATTTGGGTTCAAACTATTTTTTATTTTTTAGTTTTTAATTTCTGTGAAAAGAGAAGAATTTTTTTACTAGAAGGTGTTTAAAGTTCACACCCAATTTTTCTTGCCTTCTTTTAGTTTCTACCCGATTCGTCACCAACTGTTTGGCACTGAATAGACATTTTCTCTCTGGTTAGAATATAGTCTTTGGTGTGTTCATACCTATTTATTGTTATATATTCAAACATTTTTTAAAAAATTAAATCTTTATTCATTCTACTATGTTCACTAATTTTCTTCTCTAGTATGGATGCTAAAAAAATTTAACGATTTTTTTTTTAGGGGAAAAATTAGATTTCTGTGACCAAACTTGAACAAAATTGCTCTAAATTACGTACACAAATATTTTTAGATTATAATGGAATCGGTGATATTTGAGAAAAAGTCTAACGAAAATGTCCAAATTACGTACACAAATAAATATAAATGACCAAAATATACACATTGCCCCACTCAAGCAGTGTTACTATCAGTCCCTAATGTCCTAGTCGTGTCACCTAACCTACCTTGCCTAATAATAAGTTTATCAATCGACCAGAACGTATGAGTGCAGGATCCAAAATATCAGCTCTATTTGTTACCTGCAGTTCATGAGATTACGAAATACTGAATTACTAACTCAAATAATAATTTAAGTTAATTGAAATTTTATTAGTGAAGTAGCTATTTGTTGGTGGCATCTGAAGCATGGTTCATAGACACGGGCACAGATGAGTCTGCTATGACTCAACCGATGAGGAAAACTATAATCTGAAGACACTCAAAATGTAGAAACCATAGCCCAGAATTATATTTGACCCTTTAACAAAGTAAGAAGTTCTGAAGATACAATCTCCATGCCAAAAATATGGGGACCAAATAAAACTCTGCTAATTATTGAATTCAAAACCTTCTAAATGCTCACAATTGCTTGAACGTGTGACTAGAAAACTAAAAGTGTGTTTAATTAAAGGCAAACATAAAGACCTTTATCCGTTCATCACTACTAAATCCATCAAGCTGATTGAGTAACTCCAACATTGTCCGTTGGACCTCTCTATCCCCATTGACTTCACTGCATTGAAAGAAACAATTTACAATCAATTAGTCACATTATGACATAACTTCTTAAGTATTCAATCCAAAATTCATTACACCAAGATTCAGAAAATTGCCAGGGCGGATTAGAAAATTACACATAAAATAGAGATATGGCATACCTGTCAAACTGCTTTGTGCCTATAGCATCAATTTCATCAATAAAAATAATGCAAGGAGATTTCTCCTTCGCAAGCTGAAAAGTATCACGAACAAGTTTTGCTCCATCCCCAATGAACATCTATGAATAGTACAAGTATGATTTACTACTTCAATTGTAAAAACTAAATCCTAATAAACACTTAAATAAATCAACCAAGAGATATTCTTTGTTATGGATGTCAAAAAAGTATAGAAAATTTATTTTTATAATTCTGAATAATGTTCTTGTCAATTTTACCAACTGAAAAAGTGAGTTCCATATAACTAATCAAGTCATTTACACAAATGTCAACTCCTTAGTTTAAGACCAGATACACTTTAGCAGAATTTTTTTGTTTACGAGTCCAAACGTCTCTTAAGATCTAAACCAAAAGAGTAAATTTCCATTATACAAGCAACAAACAGAAACAAGAAACAATATATCCATTTCCTGATGTACCAAAAAAGATAAAAAGGGAAAAGATCAAGTACAAGAATACTTGATGCAAATTCATCAAAAGCAATCAAAATCCTAAACTAAAAAAAAAAAAACATATGTTTCGAAAACTGAATTGACAGGCTTTTCAGGAAGGGAAAACAAAAGTCTTTGGAATCTCCAAAGTTAAATATGATAGGGATTATTACATATAAATGGGGTTAGGGCACTATGTTTACTAAGAGGCTGAGTCATAGTCCCATAGTTTGCCTAAAATGAGTTTAACCCAAAAGCTGAGGTGGCACATGGATTTCAACAAACTCAACAAGAAGATTATGTTCCAACCACATAACTTACAACTTCAAAGACAATAAGAGGTGGACAAAAAAAAAAAAGGATGCCAAAAACTTCAAAGACAACATAAAGATCAAAAACTTTAAATTGTCCACTAATGGAAAAATAATACGTGTGTGTGTGTGTGTGTGTCAACAAGAGGTGGACAAAAAAAAGGATGCCAAAAACTTCAAAGACAACATAAAGATCAAAAACTTTAGTTTGTCCATTAATGGAAAAATAATGTGTGTGTGTGTGTGTGGATCAACAACTTTAATTTGTCCACTAATGGAAAAATAATGTGTGCGCGCGCGTGCGTGTGGGTGTGTGTGTGTGTGTGTGCATGCTTGTGTGTGAGTGCGTGTGTGTGTGTGTGAAATTAGAAACTTTCTAACAATGCAGCGATTGTCAGATAAGATAGATAGTTTTAGCAATTATCTAGAATGCAGCGACTGTCAGATAAGACAGATAGTTTTAGCAATTATCTAGAGATAAGTAAACCTTTGAGTCAATAGTCTCTTAGCTCTTACAAGATGTTTGGCTTCCAAAACATGATTCATATGTCAATGTTGACTAATTTGGTGTTCAATATGTCTAACAATCAAACCAATATTCAAAAAATATGTGCACCATGAAGATTATGTTCCAATCATAACTTAAAACTTCAAAGACAAGAAGAGGTGGACAAAAAAAAAAAGGTTGGCCCACAACTAAGACTAATATGATTTGCATTTAAATTCAGGGAAAAAAAACTTCAAAGACAACATAAAGATCAAATAAGCATCTCTATCATTCTTAAAATCATGATTTAATCAAAGGAAGAAAAAGTTCAGTCAATAGATAAAATTGAAAAACTGTCCTTCATACTTTGGCATGTTGTATAATCTTGAATCATGCAAGATTTGGGAATCAATTAAGGACAACTTCTAGATAGTCTAATTATTGCATGATCACAACAATTTATGTTGTTCTTATGGATGGCCAGGGAAAATACACCTCTAAGTCAGTGTACCAATCAAATGCATTTCCCTTAAGGGAACGAACGAATTATTTCACCAAAAGATCACCATCAGTTCTGGCGTTGTTACAAGTTTTAACAAAATGAACGATGTGTTGCTTAGGATTGCCCTTTCCATCAAACTGTTGTAACTTGGCAGGTTGGTATCTGACTGACTTTCTCATATTGTCGATACGCTTTATGTAAGGTTTCGAATACACGAGAGAACTGTAAGTTGCCCGGCCATATTATGACCTGATCGTGTTACTAATCATGTCTTGAAGTTGTTGGATAGACAATGAAGCGATAGAGGGGGTAAAGTTGGTTTGGTTTGCCCCATGTTCGGATGTGGTTGCATGATGAGTCTTGTTCGCCATGGTTGTTTGTGGCGTGAAACCAGGAGGGTGTGTGGGTCTTTGACTTGACTCGGCGGGCTTTTGTACTTTAAGCTTATTCATTAATGAAACAATTTGCAAGTCTTTATCTTCCACAGTCTTGGTGAGTTTCTCAATAGCACGGGCCATAGTCACAAGTTGTTCCTCTACTGATGCTGTGTCGGCCATCATGACTTGTATGTAAGTTGAATGTGAAGGATTCAGAGAATCAACATACCTTGGTGAAGTCGCACCTCTTGGAGATACCGGGGATGAGGCTGAGTGTGAGCCCGTGCTTGAACTGGAATCCAGAATGGATCGAGATAAATGAGGCGACATACTTCTCGAAGAGAAGCCTTCCATACCAGCGATGTCTTCCTCAGGGATCGCGGGGTTAATCTTCATGGCTCTCAATCATTCAAGGGTGATGAACGGTTGAGCCTTTGTATTCGTAGGCGTAGTGGAGTTGACATGCACTGTGCTTGGCTTCTGCGCTAAAGAAGTGGCCATTGCTTTGCTGCGGGTCGTTGGTCCCGTGGAGGTGCTGCTATCGCTTGATGGAGCGACGGTGTTCTTGGCGGCCTTTGAGGTGAGAGCCTTGTTGGTTGTCGCAACTGTGACATTCTTACCTGCATTCTTCGAGCCATGAGCGATTTGAATCTTCTTGGAGACCATTGATGCGAGTAAGAGAAGGTGTTGATGGAGTGATTAAGGAGATGGAGATGAGAGGTAGAGAGGTCCCACCGGGCGTGCCAAAAATTTGTACATATAAATTTTGATTCCGGAAATTCAAGAACGAAATGCGATGAACAATAACTTTATTAAATAATATCAGAAAATAAATGAGTACAATTCTCTGTTTGGCGATTCTATTACAGTATAAAATCTCCCTATGATTGAATCTCCTTGGAACGTGGCGCAAGGGCTTCAGAAACTTGATCTTGGGCTGGTGGTTGAACTGTATTTGAGTTCTTCAAAATTGAAGAAAACTCAAATAGATTTCTAAACAAGGGCCGGTGAGGCTTGATCTCGAATGGTAGATTTGAAAGTCTTTGAATGAGAACGGCACGTGTGTGCTTGTTGTTCTTTAGGATCTTTGAATGTTGAAGGGCTTTGATGGAGAACGGCGTAGGTGTGGCACGCTTGTTGTTCTTCTTCCTTAGAAACTTTGTAGTTTTTGTTGAGTCAGAGCTTTGGCAGAGTTTCAATCTTCTGTTTGTCTCTTTTCTCTGTGTATTTTCTGTGTCTCTGTAGGTGTCATTTCTCTTGTAAGGTGGCCTTGTATTTATAGGCCAAGGAGTGGGTCATTTAATTTGGAAACTTCCCAATATTGTGCGATTCTTGCATTAATAAGGGATTTGTTTCCTTTTATATGGAAATCAATTCAAATTCAAATTTGAATTATTTGAATTTTACCGCACTTTTCTTTAAAGGTTTGAACCTGTAAGATTTTGACACGTGTCCATTGATGTGTTCCGTATTTGTGAAATTTAGTTAATCAAGGATTATTTGACTTCTTGACCAATCCGACGGTGATTAGACCATCACAAATTTTAAGCATCTACAAGCCTATGAGCTCGTAACCCTAGAAATAGCTGATGTCTAAATAAATTTTAATTAAATTCAGCTCAGGGTTTGACAAATGCTCGAATTTTGTGATTTGTGGGCCATAGAAACGGGTGATGAAATCCCAACCGTATCTTGTTGGGGTTCTGTCCTTAAGTATCTTATGCAAATGCTAATTAAAATATGCATAGGAAAAACAACCAATAAAAAGAAAAAAGGGAGTGGAGTGTGTGAGTATTCTTCCTTTTTCTAAAAAAATAAAATAAAATAAAATAAATAATAATAAAATAAAAATAAAATGGAAGAAAGTGGAAACCTAAGGTTATTTTTAAATTATTTTATCGTAGAGTTCGCATGCAAAAGTTATACACCTAAAAATAAAAAAAAAACTATGTTTTCCTAATAGACAAAAAAAGATAAAAAGAAACCGCTTATTGGAGTTTCACGATGCAAGTAAGGTAGTTACATGGAAGAAGCAATCGCTCCAATAAGAATATCCAAATGTTGAATGCTCCCAAATTTGGCCTCCATCCGAATCAACAAATTTTGTTTTTTAAAAACTGGTGTACAACTCAAGGTTGTTAAACTGGTTTAGAATGTGGTCTAGTGCCTGAACGCGGACAGTACTGCACTTGTTGCCAAACAGGGTAATAATGTCCAATAATAATGTCAAAATATATGCCGTCGTTCTCCTTTTACAACCGCAGTTCCAGATTGCGATCCACAACGATTGCCAACAGAATCTGCGGCGGGAACACAAACCGAACAAGAGTGATGGACAGTTAAAAGTTGTGATGATTTCAACAACCCGCAATGATTTCAGTGACCATCCAACAAACTCCGACGAGCAAATTGGGCTGACTGGTGTCCAAGGACGGGTTCGGCGAGCAAGAATTCCGGTGACAAACCAGCAAGACTGAACCGGCGATCTGCACCGGCGAGACAGGTGTCACAAGTCCGGCGACAAAACCAGTAATTCCGGTGACGAAGATGGGAATGATATGGAGCAGTAACAGCCCCCTTTGTGCTCGATCTTTAATGCTTATGCTGATCTCTGCAACTCCCACTGAGTATATGAATAAAACACCAATCACAAGTAATTAATGAAGAAGAAACGGCAGTGCGATTTTATAGAAGTCAGTTTGACTCTTTTTTTTTATTTTTTAATTTAATTTTATTTTTTCTTCAAAGGAAGAAGAAAAGTAAAAGAAAATTAAGAAAAGAAAAATAAAACAAATAAAAAATCAAATAACAGTAGACTTGTGAATGGATCAATAAATTAAATTAAGCAAATTTTTTTTTTTTTTTTTTTAAATTTTGTTTTTTATCCAAAAGCCTACAAACCTAAAAGAAAGAACAATAAAAATAAGAATTAAAAAGAATGAAAGGGAGGGATAGAAAGTTTGGGTGGGCTCCCAAAAATTTCAGTTTTGAATTGATCTTGGAATTCTCAATCTTGATACGACAACGGCGGCGCCATTTTACGAATGTAAATTTATAGATTCTGTCGTTGCTCTTCTACACTTCGTACAAAAATAAAAGAAATACCTGCAAATATTAAATTAATAATTAAATAGTGATAAGTATGGTTGAACACACATTCAAGATTTGAACTCAAAATTAAAACCAAAATTGAAAAAAGAACACTTTTAAAACAATTTAATGATTTTTTACTAATGATCTAGAAATAAAATAACTAAATAAGACGAAATAAATTCTAATCAAATAATAAGAAAAATCTCAAGAAAAGAATCCACCACCACATCTTACTATAAATAAATTTGTATATTTCTCTTTATGTAAATTTTCCCATTGTAAGCAAATCACTTCACCAGTTTAATTACAACTTGGAAAGATGAAGGAAAATAATAAGGTGAAATAACAATTGCTTTAGAACATATTTTCCTTAATCTGATATATCTTTGGTAAATAGAAATAAGCATTCTCCGAATTACCATTAATTGGCAAACACGAAGAATCCTCTTTCCTTACATGATCAAGAATCTTTTATTTTAATTCCTTATGGTATAAAAAACCATTTTTTTTTATCTTAGTTTTGGAATTACATAATTAGGAAATTCCTTTCGACTCTCTAAACGCTTAAATGGTCTGCCCATTTGATATTTATTTTTTTTTTTTCCTGAATGGTTATATATATATATATATATATATATATATATAAGGTTCAAAACTACAATTACAAGGGAGACATATCTCCATTACATAGCAAAGAAGTGGAGCTAAATCCACAAAAAACCTCCAATTAAAATTGGGAAAAAAAAATACCAAAAATAAAATAAGAGAAGAGGCTTCTAAAAAAAAAATTTCTACTCTTTGAGAAGGCCACTCTTTTGTCAGAAGCTCACAAAACTGAGTTGAAGCAAATTCGAAATAGCCCTATTATCAGCCCAGAAACAAAGCCAAACTACACCACATCAAAAAGGATCATTAAGTCAGTAATTCACACTAAGAAGAATTGCAATACTTCCCAGTATTTGCAACAACTGAAGCTTGTTCCTTTGTTCCACCATGCAATGATGTATTTCTCTCCATCTAAATCTTCCAAATGAAAACACACAATATGCCTTTAAGGATTTTGGACTTAAGACATGCTATCTGAACCTGTAATAACAGCCATTCCACGAACTGATTAAAACCTTGAAACCTCACAACTGGTATATGCAACCTATCTGAAACATGCTACCATACTTCCATAGCATAAGAACACTTACAAAACAGATGATCGTTAGAATCTTCCTCCTTAAAACAGTTGTGACAAATGGCCGGACTAGAGAAACCTCTTTTTTTTTTTTTTTTTTTTTCAAATTGAACCAGGTCAAATTCTTATTATGCAATATAATGACATCCAAGACAACAACCCTGGGCCTGCAGAATTTTCAACATAAATCCTTCCAAGTAACAATTTGCCCTCTAGCTCGACAAACTCTCCACACATTTTTCAAGCTAAAACTGCCATGAGACCCAAAAACATGGTGGTTTGTCGCACACCGACCTAAAGTTTGTGCACCAAAAGGTAGTGGTGTAAAACTATGATGAATGTGGCCAAGTTTCACATTTAGAAATTGCCACTACTACCTTTCACTAAAAATATAGCTAGGGCAAGTAGGGATCATCCCAAGGGATTGGTGGGTCATACACGGTTGAGGAATCAAGATTAGGGTTAGTAGGTCGAGTGATCAAAATAGTGGTTGGTTGGTTGAATTACACTAGATGCAAATTAAACTAAAGTAAACAATAATGCAATAAAGAGAATAAAAGAGAGAGAGATCTTGGGGTTTAGAGATCATTACTATGCATACTTTTCTATACCCTTAATGAATGATCAATAAGGGGAAGATATGTGTTGCAATATTTGTGTGTGTGTGTGTGTTTGGTTGTTTCAATTAGCAAGGATGACCAATTAAGCATATATTGTCTAAGTAACATAGTGAAAAACACAATATATGAAACTAAGCCACTAATCCTTTCATTAAGCTCACAATCCAAACACATCACAAGGTTAGAGACATATGCTACTTGCATTCAAAAGCATAAAACATCAAACAACAAGCATTAATTGTCCTCCCATTTAACAACTACACTACAACTACACTACAACTAAGCTAATGACATGAAATTAAACTAATTAAATTAAGGGAGAGGCACAATCCATCAAGAAATGAGTATGAACCATCAAATAAACCACAAGAGCATTCTATTAAGCACTATGTCTTGACAATCTCTAGATCTATAGCATTAATACACATAGACATGCATCAATAACACAAGAAATAGAGACAAACATATGAACATCTACTCCAGCATACATAAACATATGG